AGAGTAGCCAATAGAAAGAATTTTAACCTTATTTAGATTAAGAGTAAATGGCATTCTAATATCTCACTATCTTATCTAGATAATTTTATTAGTGCTTAAAATAATAAAAGATGCATCTGGCAGCAGAACAGCATTCCTCTATCGCAGAACTTGTGTTCTGCACAGGCTCACATCTGCAAATGCAGATTAACACTTTTGTAAATTATGGAAGATTTTCTAATCTAAGACATTCTCTTCCTCTTACTGTTCTTTAAATCATATTTTGATTTATATCAGGCATTCCTTCCTTCTGGTTTTTTTTTCTTTTGTGTGCTTATAAACTCATTGCATAATTTCACTTGCATGATTATGTAACAGGCATCTTTGCTATTTTATTCTTCTTCATGTATATATATTTTACTGCATATTGTGGAGTTTATGTAAAAATATTTTTATCTGTCACCATTGAAGTCTGGCCTTTTTGGAGCAGGTTCCTTTGCTCACAGCTAGTTTCAGGATTGCCTGAAACAACAGGGATGAAGATCCCCAAATGCTCCCTACAGTCACTTGTTTTGCTATCTTGGCCTCAAAAGGGAAGAAGAAAATAATTGTTTTATTCTATAGAGCTGATATTAAAAAAGTACACCCTTTTCTAAATATTTCAGTTACCATCACCCATTATCCTTTTGGACAGTATCCAGCTCGCCACAGGACAATAACTTATAAGCATTCTTTTTTTGTTTGTTTGGTTGGTTTGGTTTGGTTTCTTTTGTTTTGTGTGTGTGTGTGTGTGTAGCTCATGCTCAACCCAATACCATGCCAGCTCCCAATACAAACAACATAGCTTGAAGAATTTTGAACGCCATAAATTCCAGAGCTCAAGTCAAAATACCCTTGACATAAAGGAGGTCTCACCTGAATCACAGAATCACAGATTTGCAGACTTTTGAGACTGGAAGAGACCCTTAGAAGTCACCTGGCCCATGTCCCTGCTCAGAGCCCTGCTCAGAGCCCAGCCACCTAAAGCAGGTTACTTGGGACTGTGTCCAGTGGGGGTTTGAATATCTTCAAGGATGGAGATTCTCCAGCCTCTCTGGGCACCCCATGCCACTCTTTGATGAACCTTAGAGTAAAAGTGGCTTTTCCTATATTCAAATTTAATTTATTGTATTTCAAGAACACATTCCTTGTGTCCTTTGCCTCCTCTTCTGTCACTGAGCATCAGGGAGAAGAGTCTGGTTCTCTCTTCTTTACTGCCTCCCACCAAATAGATTGATAAGATCCAGACCTTGAAAATTAGGGCTTCCATCTATGGAAATGGAGACCAGCAGCATTACCTCTTCCAGTAAATCTTTCTGGAATGTTCTTAGTCCATCGTATATAACACAATAGGTAAACGCTCCCCGGGGGAATCTGAAATGCTCAGCAGTTGAAGGGAATTAACAACACATATTATTATTTCTTCAATCTTCACACTAAAGGCCCAGAAAGCTCACTTCTTATTAAAACTTTTCCATCAAGATTCTGCAAAATTTAGACACACCCAATCCACAATTCTTGACTAATATTCCCTTTTGCGGTGCAGTAGCTCCTGCAGTTGTTCCTGTAGTAATTGTTTGGCTCCAAGGTTAGTTGCCCTTTAAACTTCAATCTTTTATCCCTTTTGATTCTATCACAGCTTCAGGTTCCCATAGTCAAAGGGCAGGAATATTTCAGTGGTTCTAACACAAGCACCTTTCCAGTTATAAGAATAAATTAATACAATAGTATTCTCTCTATAATTCTCTTTGAATTATAAATTCCTATTGTAAATTCCCAAGATTTTCTATTTACATGAAGGAAACAGATGAGAGAAACAGAGAAAGGGGAAGATGGAGGGAGGAAAGAAGGAAGGGAAGACGGCAAGAAGGGAGGGAGGAGCAAGACAGAAATAGGATTTATTTGTGCTAAGCACATAAATAGAGTTATAGATATGGCATTAGTGTAGAGAGAGATATGGCATTAGTAGAGACACAACTGAAATAAAGCAGCTGCTGGGAGACAGAAATGTTATGAAACAGAAGCAAATAACTGGTTCAGTGATCACTGGAATTAATGAGCCCTGAGTTTCAATGAATTTAAATTTTCTGGATAGTGCCCTTTTAAAATGAATTCTTCTAAAGCAGCTGCATAGGTGCATCTCTTGTCAACGAACAGATAATCTACACAAGATAGAAATATTCCCTATGGTTTCAATGATTCTTCTTTTTTGTTCAGTGAGGTGCAACTTCTGACTCAACGGGGGTACTAAAAGCTGAAAAACCTGCCCAACAAGTGTTGTTCGAAATTAACATGATTCCATGAGAAGTTTTCTGAGTTCTTGTTCACTAGATGAATTCAAAGTGAAACAGCTATCCAGTATTGTTATCAAAGTATTTAGGTGTATTTTTCCACGTTCTCCAAGTGCTTACTATTTTCTATTGTTTGTATTGCTTCTGATAAAAAACTGTATCAGAAATCTAGTGAAAGAATTCAGAATAATTAGATATTGGTAATCTTTGTGATTAATAACTCTCGATTTTCTGAAAATACTACAGATTATAAACCCACCAACTGACTGCTTATGGAAATGCCAATTATAGACAATGCCTGGTTTTAGTTTTGGTTTCTTGAATCTCACCAATTCAATTTAGGACACCTGATGATCATATGTTCCTATTTTGTACTAAATCTGTGAAGGTAAGTGGCTTAACTGGTAATACATTTGCTTAGCACACCTTTCAATCCAATAAAATGAAAGGATTTTTTTCTAATACCTGAAGGCTTCATGGAAATTAATAACATTACAAAGGCTGATATTTGCTGATAGTCTTCTTGACTCCAGCTGAAAATCCAATTGTCTTTTTTAATGAGATTGATACGTTGCCCTTACTCTGAATCTCTGGAGTTACGCAAGAGAAGCTAAGCATTGTTGAAGACACTAAACAGAAGAGGTCAAAGGAAACACTTTCCCTGAGCTGAAACTGGTACAGAGTCCTCAGTCTAGAACTCTTCCCCACACAGGACAGCAGTACTACAATGATGGTGGAAGTGTCTCTAAAAGCTGAAAATGCATTTTATCACTTTTCTCAGTAGCTGAGGTCAGCTGCATTTCCAACTGAAGTTTTTACATAATTCCTATGTGAAAACGTCCTTTTCTATTTTACTTTCCTGAATACTATAAAAGCAGGAACAATTAAATATAGATTTTGAATTTATCTTAGTTTAAGACAAGATATCAACTGAGCTTTATACACCTAGAAGATTAAAGACAAAAACAAAGGTTCACTTAAAAAATCAGCAACAATAAAAATAACAAAGAACATGGAACTTAAAAAATCAGCAACAATAAAAATAACAAAGAACATGGATCAGTAATTTCTAATAGCTGATGCTACTTATGTGGGTTGGCAGTAAAAGGAGCACTCATAAAGACTGTCTAGAAATAGATCTTTAACAGCATAGTAAATATGATAATTACATTTATTTAATGTAATAGTAAATATAGTTATGCATGGAATTATGGTATTATGAATTGGAAGAACAAATGTGTGTTTGAATTAGACCAGAAATATACTTTTTGGCTTTGTTTTGTTGTTTTGTTTTTGCTTTGCTTTTTTTTTTTTTTTTTTTTTTTTTTTTTTTTTTTTTTTTTTTTTTTTTGGTTACAGCTCTAATTGTTTAGACATAAAGGTCAAATGATACCAGGAAATGAATTGGGTCATAACAATGTTTAGAAAACACACAAGAGATTTAAGGATTGCACTCAATAAAGCAGTCCATAAAGTGCACATGGTCTTTAATAACAGCCTTTCCAGCTCTTCAATGGTTTCTCCAACAAATTACCATGAAGATGATTCTTGACAAAGCAAATCATTAATATGAAGCATCTATGACAAAACTGTAAAGAATTTTTTTTAGTAGTATATGGATAATTTAGTGGCTTTATCAGCATTTATTCAACTTCACAGCAACTTGAGATTTTTAATTAAACTTTCTACCTGATTTGCAAACAGTAGGCTCCTTGTGATTCTCAGCCTGAACTTGTATGTTCCTTCAAAGATTCTGTGCTTTGACATTTCATTTAACTGAATGACTTTCTGGAAGTAATAAAGTACTGCTAATCCAGTTGATCTAGATGCTGGTTTTTCCTGTTCAAGATTTATCAGATTATTTCAAACAGAGAAGCATATTTTAACTATGCAAAACGGAAAAAATTCAAAAAAATTCCCACATGATTTAGTGCCAGATAGTTTAATTCTTCAGACCACTAGCATCACATTTTCTATTGTTCTTTTCAGTCTGCTTTTGTGGTTTTAGGATGACATATTTTTACATCTTATTTAGGAAGGTTGCCTTTTTTATTCAGAAGAAGCCCATATATGTTTATAAAATAATTTTTTGTGATACAAGCAGATGAAAACTTGCCAGGAAATGAGAAACCTGAAATGATTCAACAAAGGACTTAAAATTTCATAAACCTGCTATCATGAAAGAAAGGGTTTTGAAACTATGAAACATAGGAACGACAGAAAATGCCACAAATGCCACACTCTCATTATCCTTGCAAATGCAACTACAGTGTATTAGCAAGGTGTGTACTGGATGGATCAAAGACATTTTCACTCAGGAGCAGTTTCTGTTTACGGATCCAGCATTTTTGAAACTCTCACACATAATTTTACTGATTGTCTCAGAGACTGACCCCGGCCAGCCCCGGGGCAAATGCAATGCAAAAGCGGTTTATTTAATCAGATTTCCCCGTTTTGTCCATGGCTTTTCTGCCACGATGGGATCAGGTACAGACCCTTGCTGGGAACCCTGCGTGCCATTAGCGGGCAGCAATGGCAGTGGGCTCCCGGGGCTGTGGTTTAGATGAGTCCGGCAGAGCAGCCGTGCTCAGCTTCAGCGAGGAAAGAGTTAAAGAGCTCCGTGTTCCCCTGTGCCCGGGAGGCAGCCTTTGTGTTTAACATTGGCAGGGGCTCAGCTCGGGCTGGAGGTTTGTTTTAATTGGGGGAGGGGGCAGAGAACAGGGGACGCTCCGACTTCTTCAGTCTGTCTCTTTCGTTCACTGATTTAGCGGAGGTGGAGATTTTCAATTCCGCCCAGTCAGACGCAGGCAGGAGGATCTTGGTAAGACTATCCCAGGAAAAGGCACTCAGAAGAAATTCTCCGAGGCGGCGGCGGCGCCAGCAGCCCCAGCATGAGGGTGAGCCGGGCGGGGAGGCGCGGGGGGAAGTGCGCGGGATGCTGCGGGAGCCCCATCCCGAGCCCACGCCGGGAACAGCCCGGCCCCAGCCGCGGGCACCTTCCGCACCGCTGGGATTCGGTGCCGGTGGTGCACCTCTGTGTGCGGCTGTGAGTGTGTGAGAGAGAGGAAGGGAGAGAGAACGAGAGACGGGCACAAGGCAGCTTGGGGGGACTGCTATTCCGTAAAGTTAACAATGCATGGATCTTGCCAGAGGCTCTCTATTTAGGCTGCAGGGCAGGCAGCACTGGTTTGCCAATTGATGTTGGAATTGATCCTTCCCTGGCGGTGCAAGGAGTGTGTTACTTCTCTTGGAGAAGGAGCAGCGGGCTGCTCTCGCTGGGAGCAGCCCAGAGGATCCCCCTTGCCGGCGTTGTTCCCCTCCGTGCCCTCCTGCCCTGCTCCGCTTCATTTGCTCCTGCTCGCATCTCAGCTGCCTTACACTCACCGGGCACTGTGAACGTTCCAGCTGGTCTTTAATACTTGGAACAATTTCATTTCCACTAGTACCGTCTCCTCGCGAATCTCGGCATGGGAATTTTCCCGGCTTGATACTCAGGCAAGTCAGGAATTTAGTTCCCTGCATCCGCGGCTGCTCCTGCAGCACTGCAGGAGCACAGGCACAACACAGGCGGGTGGCTCCCACATCAACAGAGCGCCCTTACACCCTCCAGGTACCCAGGCTTCGTGTGGAGAAGGACAATCCTAGATTACCTTATCACAGAAAGTTATCAGGGATGCCAGTGTGTTACTCATACCAGGCAAGCTGCATGTTATATTCTGCAGCAAGATAAATATTTTTAAAATACGCACAGAGGAATGAAGGGATGTCAGTAATCTATAAAAAAAGTACCCTTAAGTAGTTAGCCTATTAAAAAGCTTTCTAGTTTTGCTTCTTAGGGAAAAGTTTCTTCTGGGAGAGGAAGAGATGGAAAATGACGATTTTGTTCCCAGCTTTGTATGCTGGCGGCACGACTGCCATGCTGCCACCATGTTCATATGATACATATATCAAATTTTCACAAAAAGGGTCACAAAGTAAGGAGGAAACTGATATAACTACTAAAGCATAGGGCTGTGGGTTCTGTTCATAGCTTTATCACATTTACTTGGGAAAGCCATTTAATAGTGATACTTGCTTCCCATTTGTAAATTGAGGAACTGTAGTCATAGGAAATAATACAAGTATTAATCCTTGCCTGAAAAGAATTAAAGTCTAACATCTCTGTTGTTTCTGGTAAGATTTAGAAACCTAAAGTGAACACACTTGCTCTACACTACTGCTAAGTGCCCTGAGATACCACCATAGCCAACATTTAATTTAATTAAATAAAGAAGGATTTACTATGTGCTATGTTAAACTTTGAAATCAAGTCCATGGGAACTCACAGTTGGCCAGTTTCTGATCTCAAATCCAGTTGTACAAGGATTGAAAGGTGGATCTGTGAGGGACAGCACTCTGCATGCCAGACTGAAATACTCAGGTTAGCATCGCATCTGCTGCTCTACAGACGTACACACACACTTCCACAGACCACATACAACAGCAGCTTGCAATACTAGTAAATATTTATACTCTGCCTGCTCCAGAAGTACTCTCAGTAAATTTTCTCCCTCCTCCTCTGGTAAATGTCATGCTATAAACTCTAACAGCCCCACAAGGAATGAAATTAGGATTCATTTATTTAAAAGGATCCTCCCAAATACTTCAGGCAAGTCCCTTGAAATCGGAAAGTTATAAATACTTTATTGTCTATTTTTCTTTTGTCAACACTGCAGCAATTCATCTTGTTTTCCAGATATAAGGCATGTAAAAAAAAATAAATCTTAAATTAAATCAAGGCTTCAGGAAAATGGACTTAAGTGGCATCCCTGGTTTCAGAAGAGGTTTGGTATCTACAGTGCCTGTGGCAGCAGTTACACACACTTACGAGAGCAGGCTTCTATGATGCTTTCTTCCCTACCTGGAAATGTCATGAATTGTTGCTTAGAGTAATAAACCAAGTATTTTTATCCTTAAAGAGCTTAATTTTTTATTATTAACTTCACTGTGGCTAAGTATTGAGCATGAGTTGCAATTAAATTCAGGATCAAATGACAAAGTTTGAAGGTATTTTCCTGGCCAGAGGTCTATCTGGCCAGAGGTCTATAAAATTTTCCTCCTAATATTTAGGGATTTTGGATCTGGTCCAGATTTTGATTTGAAATACATGTCTTTTCATTTTTCATTTGAAATCCAGGTGCTAAGTCAGACAAAAATAATATAAAGACTAATTGTTGCAGTGTATCAAAAATACTCAGAAAATTGATGAATTTACTACCTTTAATTTTTTATGTAGTGCTTTTGCCCTTCTTTTTCAAAGAAAAAAGAATAAGTTCTTATTTTAGCTAAAATACCATTCAGCAGCCTCTAACACAGGTCGACTTTTCCTGCAAGACTATATTTTAAAACAGAATTTCATCTACCTTATTTTTTCCATCCCTATACAAATTCTATCTCAAGTTAACAGGGTTTTATGGGAGCTTATTTGCATAAGCTATCACTTCAGGAATTTCTTGCATTTGCCTCTTGTCAGACAGGTAATGGGGGTAATCTAGATTTCAGAGCAGCCCAGTGAGTATAAACAGGTGTTTATACATATGTGCTGCAGAGGCTGAACATTCAGATACCCTCCCTAAGGGAGAAACAGGATGTGTAAGACTACCTGTTGTACTGATTATGTGCTTTTTTTTTTTCCTTTTGCTTACAGTTTCTCTCTGCAGGTGAAAAAGTGAGAAGTATCTCACTGAAATACTGAAGAAAAAAGCGAAACCCTTGTCTCATTGAATTTGCTCACTGGGGACTCCAGGATGGAAGCCTTGTGTTTAAGAGTTTCCTTCCTGCTGCTGGTCCCGGGATTTGTACTCAGTGACAGCTCTGACAGAGATGTTTCCAACAGGAGCGACTCAGGAAACCCCCTTTCCACCTTCTCAGGGATGGAATCCAGCATTCTCCTCACCACCATACAGCCCCCGGTGTCCAACCAAACTGTCAAATGCTCCCAGCAGACTAAGATTGCTGAAACTTTCAAATACATTAACACCGTGGTGTCCTGCGCTATTTTCATCATTGGGATGGTTGGGAATGCAACTCTGCTGAGGATCATTTACCAGAACAAGTGTATGAGGAACGGCCCCAACGCACTGATAGCCAGCCTGGCACTGGGAGACCTTATCTACATTGTCATTGATATCCCCATCATCGTGTACAAGGTAGGACACCATGACCCCTTCCACCTGCAGTTCCCTAAGAGTTCCCTGGCTGTTCCCTGTGCTTCCTCCTCTATTTAGTGCTCTTTTGTCAATGAATAGTGCACTTAAGGAAATAAAACTCCTTTTTGTTCTGCAACAAACTCCTTGCTCTCAGGTCCCACCTCCAACAAGAAAAAGTGCATTTCCCATTAAAGATAATGTAGCTCTTAGCTCTTAACCAGAGTGTGGCCTTGGGCATTTCACAGGAGCTCTTCATTTCTCATAGCTGTTACAGCTAGCAAAAGAATTTATGAGGGAAGACTTTTTATAAACTACTCTCCTCCTTGATAGACTAGTTGCTATTTTTATATTATCCAGTCCTTACTTTATATTTTTACAGAAAATACTCCATGATATGCAGGTCTCATATTATGGTTTTGCAGGGAGAGATTATGTCAGTTAAGCCTAAGTTGAGCCTTAAGGTTTTCATTTAATATTCATTAATAGCAGAGTCTCAAAATTAATCCAATTATATCACAGACCATTTCTGAAATATTCAATTTCATCTGGATTTGTCAAAGTGTAAAAAGGCTCCTCAGCAGTTCTTTTATCCGGTATAAAGTTATCTTGTCCCAGTGTTTTGATTTTCCATTTTAATTAAACAAAGCCACAAAACAGTGCTTTTTCTGATGCAATTTATATTTACCAATATAATTCAAGCCAGAACATGCTTGAATAAACAGAACTGAGCCCTTTTTAAATATATTTCATTGATACTAACGTCTCTTAGAAAATCATCAAAGAATTTTGTAAGCTTGTGTCTGTCTCTTTGTGGACCATGCATAGGTACATAGCTGACAGGATACTGGACTTTTTCTTCCTTTTTTCAGCAGAAACATGAAGTGTTTCTGTTTGTAAATAAAACTCTAAGTTATATAATATATATAATTATTCTATAATTAAGAAAAAGTATTCTTCACAATTTCAGCCCTTAAAGATTCTAATTACTTTTATTTACATGTGTTTTAAATGAAATATTTTAATGCATGGTTTTATAATAATTGGTGGCCTGTGGTTTTGAACTGGATTTTAAAATTAAAGAAACAATTATTTTAAGTCATGCATTTTGCATCTTTATAACATGGACATCATAACTGTGTTATAACACAGGTATTCATATCACAAAATGATAAAATTTGAATTAATTAATGGAAAAAAAAATTCACTCTGTGCATATATTACATTTGTACAGAGGCACTGGGAGTCTGTTAACATTCACCAACCAGGAAGAGGAGGTGGAAAACTTAATTCTATAAACAGTTGGAGAATGTTTCAGGATCACCAGCCCTTGTTCTTGTAGATGACTTTAACCTTCCGGACATCTGCTGGGAACTTAATACAGCAGAAAAGAGGCAGTCTAGGAAGTTTTTAGAATGTGTGGAGGACAGCTTTTTGTTGCAGCTGGTGAGTGAGCCCACCAGGGGAGGGACTATGTTAGACCTGTTGTTTGCCAATAGAGAAGGGCTGGTGGGAGATGTGGTGGCTGAAGGCCACTCGTGGCACAGTGATCATGGAATTCTAGAGTTCTCGATATTTGGTGAAAGCAGGAAGAACATCAATAAGATTTTTACATTGCACTTCCGGAGGGCAAACTTTGGCCTGTTTAGGAGACTTATACAGAGAGTTCCTTGGGAAGCAGCCTTTAAAAACAAAGAATTCAGAAAAGATGGGAGTGCTTCAAAACAGAGATCTTGAGGGCACAGGAACAGACTGTCCCTGTGTGCCGAAAGATGAGTCGATGAGGCAAACGTGCAGCCTGGATGGGCAATGAGGTTTGAAAGGAACTTGGGAATAAAAAGAGAATGTATCATCTTTGGAAGGAGGGTCAGGAAGCATTTGGAAGCTTCTCAGGAAGCATTTAAGGGGGCTGCTAGGACATGTAAGAAAAAAATAAGGGAGGCTAAACTCAGTTTGAACTTAATTTGGCAACTTTTGTAAAGGGTAATAAAAAATAATTTTACAATTTTATTGATGGCAAAAGGAAGGATAAACCAACCTTTGTTCTCTACTGGATGAGGGAGGGAACATAGTAACTACAGATGAGAAGGTGGAAGTGCTTAAAGCCTTCTTTTCTTCTTCAGTGGGAAGATGGCTTGTCCTCAGGACAACTGTTCTCCTGGGTTGGTAGATGGTGTCAGGGAGCAGAATGGCCCCCGTTATCCAGGAGGAGGCAGCCAGAGAGCCACTGCTGAGCAGCTTGAATGTTTATAAATCTATGGGAGCAGATGGGATCTATCCCAGGGTGATGAGGGAGATGGCAGATGAGCTTGTGAAGCCACTCTCCATCATTTACCAGCAGTCCTGGCTCACTGGTGAGGTTCCAGATGACTGGAAGCTGGCCAATGTGATGCTCATTCACAGAAAGGGCAGGAAGGAGGACCCTGGTAATTATAGGCCAGTTAGCCCGACCTCAGTGCCCAGCAAGGTAATGGAGCAGTTTATACTGAGTGTCATCACTCACAGGATGACCAGGGCATCAGATCCAGCCAGCATGGGTTTAGGAGGGGTAGGTCATGTTTGGCCAACCTGGACTCCTTTTATGACCAGGTGACCCACCTGGTGGGTGCAGGAAAGGCTGTGGATGTGTCTATTTGGACTTTAGCAAGGCCTCTGACACTGTCTCCCACAGCACACTCCTGGAGAAGCTCTGGCAGCCCATGGCTTGGACAGGAGCATTCTTTGCTGGGTTAGGCACTGGCTGGATGGCCAAGCCCAGAGAGTGGTGGTGAATGGTGCTGCATCCAGCTGGGGGCCAGTCACCAGTGGTGTCCCTCAGGGGTCTGTTTTTTTGTTTAAAAAAGACTGGATGTGGTACTTGGTGCCATGGTTTAGTTGAGGTGTTAGGGCTGAGTTGGACTCACTGATCTTGGAGGTCTTTTCTAGCCTAGTGATTCTGTGGTATTATCTATGGTGAAATGTAGCACCTGGTTCTGATCTTCCAGTTGTATAAATTACAGATAAGTCTTTTAACTTTAACTGGGTTTAATATAACATGAATTTGAAACTAGGATGACAGTAAATAATTATGGATGTGTTTTAATGGCAATTCTTTCAATAATTTCACTTTTCAATACTCCACCTGGAAATTTAAATTCGTTGATTTTACCAATTTGCTGATAAGATATCTGTAGAGTATTTTGGATTAACAAGTTGACGAGAAAGATTGAAAGATTAGCTTCTGCATGACTTGAGATCCATCCGTCTTCCACAGATGGGTGAATGTCTAATGGGGCATCAGACTGGGGTTCTTAGCTGGACTCAGAGTCTACACAAGGCCAGGCTGGATGGGACTCTGAGCAACCTGGGCTAATGGCAGGTGTCCCTGTCCATGGCTGGGGGGTTGGAACTGGATGATCTGTAAGGTCCCTTCTAACCCAAAGCATTCAGTGATTCTATAAATGTACCTCCCAGGATGTATTACAGTTTCCTCCCTGGTAAATTGCCCTTATGTCTTTATGGATAATTGCTAAGGCAGCATTCTCAATTCTCATGGTATATGTGATAGTACATTTTAAGGAAAAATGGCATGAGTTCTTTTCAGAGCCAAGTTTGAGAAAGAACAAGCAGTTTTATTACACAATTTTTTCTAACCTTTAAAGTGCTCTGCTTCTTTTTGCAAAGAGGAATGGAAATCTGGAATTAATTTTGCCTTTCAGAGTTGCCTTTTGATGGTCCTCTGAAAGTTCTTTAGAAGTCCAGTTGAAAGTAAAAAACAATTTTTTTATATTATCTTTATTATTTTGCAATAATTTTTTTTCCTATTAATTTTCTATCGCTTCTCTGGAATTCCATAGGTGCATTTTCCTTGCTCTGTCTTATATCATGATCTGATCTATGGTTCTGATTTGATGAATGAAATTTCTTTAGCCTACATGAGAAACTATTTTTGTGCTGCAGAGAAGTATTGGATAAATAAAGGCTATGAACAAAACTGCAGCCCCTTGACACCAATTTCCACATGTAAGGAGGCAGAATTCAAGTAACCTTTAAAGCTTAATTCTAGCTTTTAGTTATTTTTTCAGTTACTTAACTTTCAGAATAAATTATTTATAAATTACCATATGTAACCACCTTGTTGTCTGAGGTTATCTGCATTTATGAGAAGCATTTATGGCTTTATAAGGGAGCTCTGGCACACCCGATAAGAAATGCAATTATTATTATTATAGTCCATTTTTCATATGAACCAGCAAAGATTCTTACATTAGAAATTGGGATTAAAATCTGTTAAATGCCATTCCTGTTTGTACCACTAGGGATCCTAAAATCTGTGTCACATTTCAGCTCCTCTTGTTGAGTGACAGTGTGAAGGGTGGCCACTGGAAATATCATGATTGGATAATTGAAGTGATAGGCTTTTAAGGAAAAAAAATTCAAGTGTTTTTATTTTTGTTTTAAAGTAATTCATACCCTTCTGAACTTAATTTTAAAAGATTCTTTTAGTTTCAGAGTCAGCCTCATGTTGAAGCATATATCAGTATCCTATATGTAGTGTCAAACACTTCATACCTTTTAGGCCAGATCTTTATTTTTAGGACAAAACAGGTCTGAAATCAGAGTAAAAAAGCCTATTAAAATAACAAATAATACAGTGTTAAGATGGCCACATTGTATAGAACAAAATGTATAATACCTGTAATTATAATTGAAATAGTTATAATCACTTTCCTGAAACATAATGTAGTCTTAACTATTCTGAACTATTTTTGGACTATTTTGAAATGACTTTCAAAAGAGAAGTAGATAATGCTGCTGGTACGCAAATCATTTTACAAGCCCTTAGAAAGAAGCAGCTATAAAACTGTAATAACTGGCAATGTAAGATCCCAGGAGAATTGAGTCCTTCATTCTGTTATGCATTTACACAATTAACAAAGGTACAGTGTTGGGAAAAAAGTAATTATATAATTTATGTCAACTAAAGATGTGGTCACAGGTGTTTGACATTTTTAACCTTTCTT